TATGATCTGAAGCAGCAGTAATTCTCAGCCCTTAATAGCACTGCAAAATCAGTAGGAACAGAGCTTTCCTGCGTGGCATCTTCAGAGGAGGGAGCTGCCTGTGAGATTTCCATAGAAACCCTGGTGGAGGATGTCTCRCCGTGTTTGTTCTCATTTAACAATAAGTGAATTTCCACAGCCAGATGCCGAGAATGAGGCATGGTTTTGGCAGGCTCCTTCCATCTTGCTGATTCAAGGAGTGTATTTGTAATTCATGGGGTTTGGGGGATGTCTGGAAGGAGTGTGGCCAGTGATTTGGGATTGTTTCCAGCTTTATCTCGAGGGTGCACTCAGTGGAGGTGGAGGAGTCACAGCCACAGGTTCAGCACTCCAGTCACATCCACAGACCCTGTTTTAATTGCCTGGTCTGAGCAATTAAACCACTCCTCCATTTGGCCCAGAATAGTGTGCCTGGAAGGAATGGTTTGGGTTGGAAGGGATCTTGAAGCCCATCTCATTGCACACCCCTGCCATGGGCAGAGACACCTTCCACCAGACCAGGCTGCTTCAAGCCCAAATCACTCGAACACTTCCAGGGATGGGGCATCCACAWCTTCTGCCCTGCCCTTTGGCAGTTCCTGAAGTTCACGATGTCCTCTGGGATGGGGGGAGGAAATGAAAGGATAGCTCTGTGCAGCCTGAGGGGAGCTGAGCAGGCAGAGATGGGGGAAGGAGCAGGAAAGGAGAAGGTCTCGTTCCTCCTCTCTCATTCTCACCCCACCAATCACTCTCTGGTATCCAGTCCTGTCCAGGATCCTGGAACAGCAACAAAGGGCTTGAATATCCAAGTYATGGAGAAGATGAAGAGTAAATCTGCAGTCTGTTTAGGGGTTAATTKTGTAACTGTGTATAAAAAGCACAGAAGTTTCATGACCTGTAGGTGCTTCAGACCAACCTGTGGAAGCACCTGGTCCTGGTGCACTCCAGTTGCAGAGAATACACAGAGATGCTGTGTGTGGGTGTTCCCAGTCCTCTGTTTTGAAAGAAAATAGTTTGCATGCTTTAAATAAATAAATGTGTAGTAGTAATCTTTAATCATTGTATTTTGTGCTGTTTTTCCTTGTGGCTCATGCTCTCTCCCAGTTCCCAGTAGGCCATTGCTGTCCCAGTGTATTTCTTGCWCTTTCCCAGTTTGTGCAACTCTGGAGCCTTTTTTGTTGTCAGGATCAGTGTCTAGGGTGACCCTTGGGTTAACAATAATGAAACTGYGATTCTGGAGTGCAAATGCAGTTTAACAGGAAAAGAGGTCACATTACAACACATTCTTCATTCCTTAGCATCCCTTCTTTATTTGGATATCTCCCATAATTAAGCTATAATCCAGTAGTAAGCTTTCCAAYTCAGTCCAGTGCAGCCATGATTCTTCCTAAACAACTGTGGCAGGAATAGACCTGTATTGTATGCATGAAATTATGGTCTTAGTCACCCAAGATTTGCATGTAATTTTCTTTTCATACCTAGGCAGGACTTTTTGTGGCTCCACATTCAGTTTTTTTCAAGGCATGTATTTCTACAGCAAAMTTTCTTGCAAAAGAATTACTCGTTCATGCCTGAATGTCCAGTGATATTTACACAGAATAGAAAATTCAASCTTGTATTTTATGCAGGGAGGATAACACTATTTTTGACAAAACCTGCTGTATATTTTGAAGTCTCATTTGTCTGCATGTAAAAACTAATTTATTTGTAAGAAAATATTGCAGTTTGTGTTTTCAACATTACAGACTTGTGTCATCTAAGTTTATGTTGAGGAGGAGGAGAACACTATCATTTAATGGATCAAAGAATTAGCTAGGAAAAACATTGTTTCTAGAGTTTTGTGGAGGAAAAAATTATCACTGAAATAAATTTGATTAATTTGTAAGATATCCACTCCAGTGAAAAACGGCTTGCATTTTTTTTTAAAATAGAATATTAAATAGATGGAAGAATTAAATATGCATGGAAGAATTAGGTATACTTCTGCTCCAGCAGCAATCTGAAGAATATGATTCAATGATTTTAGATGAGTATGGAGATGATATATATAATTTCTGCCTATGTAAGACATTTGAACTTCCTCAGTTCTGGTTTCTGGTGAGTGATGTTCCACTTCCCTGTTAAAAGATTACATTCACAGAAGTTTGTGGTCAATTCTGTGCTGTCCATAAAGGAGTACATTTAACTCCTCCCAGAATGATTCCTCCCCCTGGTTTTTTCAGACATGCGTCCTTTGTAGGCTCACAACAGTTGATTTTAATCACATTTCGAGGCAGTGTGATAAACATGAGTGTGATATTGTTACTCCTGCCCACAGGGTATCTTGTAAGTTCTGATCAATAAGGCTGCCTTTTGTGTACTTAAGGAGGGGAAACAAGTCCAAAGAAGCAATCCTTCATTGCCAAATTGGCCTGCAGGCCAGTGGGATAATCTGATTTCACCAACTCATGATTGCTTTTTACAATTTCAGCTTGCATCTGTCAGAAGCAAAGGGGTCTCCTGTCCTATCGAATTTTCAGCTGTCTCTAGTGGCTCCATCCCAAAGTCCCTTAATTAGATGATTTTTGCTGAGACCATAATTCCTGTTATAAAGTATCTACATTCAGCCTGTTTGATTGTCKTGGTCAGACTCCATTGCTGAAAATGAGTCCTGACAGTGAAGCAGGCTGTCCTTCTGCATGTGAATGAGGACAGGGGACAGCACAGGTTGATGTGGCAGGGGAGGAGTTGGGAGTTTACCTTGCTGCAGCATTATTRATGTCCCTGTAGTGCTGCAAATCCCCCATGCTGGGGGACTGCACAAATGAAGAGTGAGATGTGTGCCTGTCCCTTAATAATTGAGTTTTTGCTGGTTTTAAAAGGCCAAAATGCCAGCCCAAGGAGGGAAATTCAATCTGTGAATGCTGTGAGTGGTTATGCCATGCAGCTAAGCAGCAGCCACAAGGTTTCTGTGGTGACATAGCATGAAAAGTTCCTCACTTCTCTCTGTGATTTTTGAGAAAAGTCTACTGAAATCTGTGACCTGGAAGTTTTGGTTCAGTTTTTGAACTTTAATGTGGCTGATTGCTGCCATTTGCTTTAATGCACTTTCTCCTTTTTGGAATAGGTTTGTCAGCAGCCAAATTGCTGTCTGAGGCTGGGGTCAGCGTGGTGGTCCTTGAGGCCCGGGACAGAGTTGGAGGAAGGACATTCACAATCAGGGTAAGTGCTCCACGAGATGTGGACTCTCACTGTGCTGGGCTATGATGTGACAACCCTCACTCCTATTCTTTYGGTCCAAGGAATTACAATTATTTTGACCCAGGGAGCCACAGCCTCACCTCAGTCCCTCAGAAGGTGACAGAGCAACCAATCCAGAAGTCATCAGTCAGCATGAGTTCACCAACAGAAATTCATGCTTGGCCAACCTGAAAGCCTTCTAAGGTGCAGTGACTGGCTTGGTAGATGAGGGAGAAATTAATTTTGCCTCCCCAGACTTCAGTAATTCAACATTGTGTTGAAAACGATCGTCTGGGACCGTGAGGGTCTGAGCATTTCTCCTCTTTGCCATCTCCCTTTGCACACAGTAACAGGCATGGTAACTTAGAACCCTGTAAGGAGCATCCTGAGCTGAGCCAGATATCATTATGGCTCAGACATCTGTTTAAAATGCCTTAAAATTATCTGAAATAACACTTCTGCTTCTAAAATTTAACTGTGTCTTGACTGCTATTGCAAAAAAAAAAAAAAAAAAAAAAAAAAAAAAAGGAAGCAATGAAGAGTCACTTGTGGGAAGAATAATGTGAGACAGACATTGCCTCTGCTCTCCACCCTGAAGTGAGGGAGGTTTGAATTATGTCAGGTGCCATTGCTGGGGAGCCAGAGATAAACAGTGGTGCTCCAGCAGAAATCATTGTGTGTGAAACACGGAGCATAAACACCATCCTTCTGTGACACTGAGGGTGCCAGGCTGAAAATACTCACCATAAACAGTGTTAAAAAGAGTTACTGTCCTGGGAGATCAGCCTGCTGTAACTGTGTGCATCCCTGAGAYATTCTGCTTTCTCCCTGCTTCCCAAGTGAGCGTGGGGCTGCTCTGAGGGTGCACTGAGCACCTTTCATGGCAGGCAGGCTGGAGCTGAGGTGTGCAGTGCTGGAAAGGWGATTCATCTCCTGGAAAATGCAGTGCAGAGCTCAGCACCTGCAGCATTAACACTCAGCAGGTGTCTAGAGAGAGAAAACAAACCCTGGCTTTGAGATAGGTTCAGCTGTAATGTGAATTTCTTGAACATCTTCACTCCATCACCTCCCTGGGCAACCCTTTCAATGTCTGACAACCCATTCTGTGAAAGAAATTCCTCCTGAGTCTCTTACACATATATTCCATACACATTCGGTGTGGAATAGCTGTTTCTGCTTATAGATGTTTGTACTGAGGAGATTCCCACACAGCTTCTGATTCCTTTATTCCTTTTCACAGAACGATAAAGTGAATTATGTGGATGTTGGTGGATCATACGTGGGACCTACCCAAAACAGGATTCTCCGACTGGCAAAAGAGCTGGGGGTGGAGACMTATAAAGTGTATGTGGAGGGCCACATGTTCCACCATAAGGGGGTGAGTATTGCAGTTCCAGGCTGAGRTACCCAAAGGCAGCACTGAAATTTGGAAATTACAGTCATCAAGAGGATTTCATTTAAATACCACCCTTACTAACCCARAAAGCCCCTGTTTGRAGTGTTGTTATTCTGTTTTAAGTTTTTGGGAGTGGGACTAATGGTTCTGAAGATGCAACTGATAGCAGATAAAAAATTTGGGATGCATTTGGCACATTATCATTGAATATACCTTCTAAAGAAGTTTTGCCTGAAATTCAGGAAATACTGGTTTCAAAATTTAAATCAAAGAATAATGGTATTGTTGGACAGTATTAAATGATGATACTGGGTGAGGTTATTATGGGATTAGCCTGGGAGTGGTATAATATATTTGCCCCACATGACTGGATTGACATGAGATCTCTCCCAGTCCTGTAGAGTGGGATTCATCTCACTCACAAATGGATGTCTGGCAGTCAGTAATCTAATTTGTGACCCTGAGTTCCCTCTCYAGCTGATGGTGACACACCAGCCCTTCCCAAGGCTCCCCAAAAGCTTCACCTCAGAGCAGCAGGGGCCAGGTGGCCGTTCCTGAGCAGGTGCTGGTGTGGCTGAAGTGACCTGGAATGAAACCTGCCTTCAGAGCAGATTCTCAGCCCTKGTCCTCAATCTTCAGCCCACTGATTTTGTCAGCAGGTCCTATCCATGATCTACTGCCTAAACCAGAGCAGTGAGAGAGAGAGAGAAGGACAAAGAAAGGCCTGAGATTCATAGGTGTGAAATGTATCCATAACTCACAAAATATTTTACTTTCCAAGTATCATCACTTTCAATTTTTTTTTAATATTCTTTAGTTTTGGTGCATAAGAGACTCTGGCAGAACCAGACTTGAAGCCATTATGAGTCAGAGTTGACATACTTGATTGAGGCAAGCCAACCTATGTGATGGGTCCTTAATTGGTTTCATTTTTGTTGCCTTCCCACTTTTTCTTCTAAGAATTATTGCAATGTGTTCACGCTGCAAAGTTTTGCCATCTGCTTCTGCAGGCGCCCCTTATTGGGCAGATTGATGCCAGGCTCGTAAAGCAGGCACATCTTAAATAATTGCACAGCCACTCCATAATAATAAAAAAGTTATTTGTCACTCCCACCTCATGCAAAATTGATGAAATTCTACAGCAAGAGGGATGGGCTGGTTTGTACCAGCGGAATGTTTGWCCCTCTCTAATTTAAGCTCAGGCATGAATCTCTCAGCATCCTAAAAGGCACTTATCTTCTTTATGTTAAATAAAAGGCTCTAATGGGTTACATTGCTTTGAGCCCTTAATCCATTTTGACACTGAAGCTGCAGCTTTGTATTGTCCCACACTGCATTATGCAMGTCCCTGCTAATGACTGTGTAATTTTGTAGGTTTTCTTCAAAGTGAAAGCATATTTCTGAGCAAGAGGCAGCATTCTGAGCTGTTCAGCTGGGTCACAGGCTGTGGATCAGTTCTGGGTTTGCCATCGTGGTCCTGCTGAGCTCTTCAGGGTCCCAAGGGAGCTGTAGTTATTGGACCAGGGTGACAGCAAAGGGGCTTTAAGGTCTCCCAGATTTAAGGATGAGTAATAATGATGCTTTCCTTCCCTTAAGTTTCATTTCTCCCACTTCCTCTTCCCACGAATTGGAACCTTTTTCTTCCATTTTCTTTTCCTAAGGTTTTCCACAGTTTCCTCTCCTTTCTCTTTCCTTGAGACATTGTGCAGTCACCGTGCCCTTTCACTTAGGATTGTGTTATTGAACCCTCTCTTACACCCCACTTCTAGAGGAAGCTCACTGAGCTCCATCTGTGCAGTCCTGGCTGTTGTCAGTGCCCAGGGCTCCTTTACCCTCCTCTCTTTACTGTTAGCAGGCTGTGTGGTGAGGTGCAGGTGGGGATTTGTGCTCTCCCAGCTGTAGATGCCTCCTCATATCCATTAGAGAATAAATTCATTCACATGAGCATCTGTAGTATTTCCTGGGTGGCAGAAAACGTTAGCAAAGATTGTGTAKTAAAGGCTCATATCCACCAGAAATTAAATATTAATCTGAAAGATGGATGTTTTCCTCTTCTTGGGCTAATACACCATCAGCTCTGCCTTTGAGGTTTGAAAGGTCCGACTAAAATTTCTCCCCTCGTGTCTCAGCTGTTGTTTCTGTCAGCTGGAGGCTGTCCAGGAGTGTAGCCAGGGCCAGACAGGAAGGTCTCCTCCCCAGAGCTTTCTCCAAAGTCTGCAATGTYGTGTGGTTTTKTCAGAGGCGAGAGAAAGTGCYTTGAGCAATGACTAAGGACATCTTYAGATGAGTTTGTTCATCTGTGTGTWATCTCCAGCACCTTTGGATTAACAGATTTTTGCTCTTGTTTACCATAACAATCAGCTCAGTTTGGTTTTTTCTGAAGATTTCCAGGACRCTGCTTTGATTGAGTTCTGAGAAAGTGGGGAAGTGCTTTATCCGAGCAGCCAAGGGAAAGTGAAAATCCCCAGAGGGATTTAATGAGCTTCTTTTCTCTGACAGGAATTTTTTCCCATATGTGTGTGGAAAAATTCCATGTACTGCAGGCTTTAATAAACAAGTTGCCTCATTCCTGCAGGTTTCCTATGTAGTTACAGCTWATTTGAAAACCTAAATATGTGACTGTTTTTTATCTTTTATTTTTCGGTTGTTCTCTCCTTCCCATCAGTTAGCATAGTAACTGCTTTGCTGTCAATTAGGATTTTTTTTGTTATCCTGTGCTTGTAAATCTGTAACTTAAAATTGTAGTGTTTGTTATGAGCCCCAGACTTAATTTCCAGCTAAACTTCTCTGTGGCTACTGTCCCATAATTCAGCTTTTGGACAGAGAAAGGGCAGATGTGCTGGAGTTCTGTGCTGTTTTCACCTTTTCAGTAGAAGACCCTAGAAAGTCTGTAATTTTGGCTACAAATCCCAGCATAGCCCTGGGCAGGGAAGATCTCTCATCTCTCATCTCTCACTCCCTTCTTTCCAATCACTGAAGGATGGGGCTTGAGGATCTTGTTTTCTTTGGACTGGTGTGGGGTGATCTGAGCAGGCAGCAGGACTCAGATCTGAGGTCTGCAGAAAACCACTCGACCCAGAAGGAAACAAAAAAAAAAAGAGTTTGATAAACTCTGGGTCAGTCAGGCAGTTCTGTGCTAGCATGGGAACCAAGCCAGTAGGTTATTTGCCTTTCAGCAAAGAAAACAGTAGTTCTGGAAATAATACATCCAGGACGCCGTAAATTTGTTTGAAAATGGAATATTGCAAGACCTTGCCTGTTTGCAGTGGGCTCCTCTGTGAAACACGCAGCCAGAGCTCCTCTGCCTAGCAGGGAGACAATATTAAAACCAAATTAATAACTGGGGCTGGATTTACTCCCACTGTGGAGATGCTTGTGCCAGAGAAAGCAGGAGAATTGRTGTGTCTAAGGCTGTTGGGCTTTCATACCTTGATGGAAAATGGGAATTTCTATCCTGGAATTTGCTGGAATTGAACTTTTTTCTGATCCTGTGTCTGATAGGTCCAATTCTGCCACACAAGGGATTACTGTGTCTGTGAATATTTCAGCCTCTCTGAATTCGGTCTTAGCCTCTTCCAGATCTGTTAGCTCTGTTGTGTTTTTCCAGCTTTTCCTGCTGTTGGACTCCTGTCTCACTGAAGTTGTGGGGTTTTTGCACACAGAAGAGAGCAACAAGTAACACAACTTCAGATTTTTTAATTATCAGTTGGCATTTCATAGTTCTCAGGGGATAAAATATCTTTTCCCATTGATCTCCATGGGCTATGCCATTGACCAAAGATGTTTTAAGCTTAGGAAGCTGAGGATACAAGAACTGTTTGCAAGTTACATCACTCTGCACAAGCTCAGTCACTTGACAAAAAGACTTTTGAATAGAGCTGTCACTGAACAGTGAGAAAATGGGAACTTTTTTCTGCTGCTCCTGATTGGACACAGATTTATCTTTTCYCTTTGCCCCCTTGCAGTATTGCCATGACAGAACTGCAGTAATAAAATAGCTTCTCACCTGAATTTGGGTGGCTTGAGAGCATTGCATCCCATCTCTGCTGAAGGGCAGAATTATTGGGGTTAAAGCATGTCCAGGAAGGGATGTGGATGGCACCTGTGTTCCCAACCAGAATAAAAAGACTAACAATCAGTGAATTTCGAGAAGCAGTGTTTGATGATCTTTTAGAAGAACAAAACGTTGTGCAATAAGAACAAAATGATTAGTAATGTTTTACTGCTCAACATCAGGATTTCCTGGTTTGAYACAGCATCAGTTTGTGACAGTAAAAGCTGTAGAATAGTAATAGTATGACAGTAAAAGCTTACAGAATATACTGTAGGATGCAGTATATCCCTTTGCATGTGCTGTTTGGCACAGTGCTGCAGCCTGGGAGTGGGAAATTGTCCACAAGAAAAAGGAAGAGGTTGTGTCTTCTGAAGGATTCCCCTGCTGGTGGCTCACAGGAGCATTTTCTCTGCTCTCACCAAGGCAGAAACGTTTCGCACCTGGAGAAAGCTGGAGCAGCCTCCCCCTGCCAYCTTCCTCCAGTGTAACTCTCTGAAAAAGGCAAAATGGGGATGAAAGAGAGAAAAAACATATGTGGTACACGAGATTGAGATTACAAACCCAGAAATCCCGAGGTAACCAACCACCTCCTGGTGACTTGAAAGCACAATATTTGTTGGAAATTAAAAAAAAAAAACAAACAGAAAAACACAACCAAAAACCCAGAAAAAAACCCACAATATCTT